AGTTTAGAAGATTTGTATTACGTTTTTCTTTAACAAATAAATTATCCCACACCGTCCTTCTTAGACTGATGCATGCACGTTGCATTTCTGTTTGCGCTTTTTTCTGTGTGCACTTTTTTCTGTTTGCGTTTTTGTTTGGTTGCGCATTTTTGTTTGCACTTTTTCTGTGTTCGCTTTTTTCTGTGTGCACTTTTTTCTGTTTGCGTTTTTTTCTGGTTGCGCATTTTTCTGTTTGCGGATTTTTTCTGGTTGCGCTTTTTTCTGTTTGTGCTTTTTTTCCGTTGCGCATTTTTTTTTTTGCAAAATTTTCCGTTGCGCTTTTTTCCGTTGCACGTCTTTCTGGTCACCGTAATTCAAGGTCTAATATAAAAAAAATTGTTTGCGGACGCTATAATCGGAGTAACATACATTTTGTGTCAGTGTGGGTAGTTTAACTAACCCTTCTCCTTCTAATGTTTAAATGTCTTTCTAACTGTGCTATGCTGCACAGGATACGCAAATATTTTGCTTGAATGAAAGATCTTTCAATCATTCAGTATCAAAAGAAAGGACCGAATAAAATTACAAGTTGGTTTTTCGGTCCTCGGGACCTAACAACTTGCCATATAGGCACTAATTAAAAATTATTGGTCAGCTTTTTATAAAAAATAAAGGCACCCTACATAGAATAACCGTAGGGCTGAACCTTCATTGATTGCTATGGCTGCATACTACAGCTGACTCACTCTTCGTAACTTTAATGACAAGCAACCAAACATCACGTGAAAGATTCATTGTGTTGTGGATTTAACTAATTTGATACTCGAACAAACTGCAGGACAGATTAAACTGTACTGCCCCATGTTTCCTCGGCATGAGGGGGATACATGATGAAAATATTAAAGTGAATCGTTAATATCCTTCTTTTTAATACATGTATAGATCGTAAAAGCTTGTTATTATAAACATTTTTAAAATAAAAAAAAAATTCAAGATTTTATTGAACTTTTTATGTGACAGAAACTTAGACATAAACTTGGAGGTAATTTTAGTGTTTTGCTTTCTACAAAAATTATCCTCCATTGGAAATCGAGATTGAGAGCCAACTAGATCGGATTAGAAAATGTGTAAATTGTAAGAGAAAATTAGTTTACTAAAACTCTTTCAAACGATCCAGGGTAGACTGCGCTTCTTTAATCTTGGAAGGTAACTTTATAACTTCGTTCTTTATTTTTAATGTTATAATCTGCCAGAAGGTTCCAACTAGAGATTTTTTCGTATTTAACAACCATGAACTTTTTGCCGACTCGACCACGCCGCTTACACAATTTAGTATACGTGTCCGATTTCAGCCTTTGGATTTGCTTCCATAGCCTTTGCCCAACCAAGAACAAACTAAAAGGCAACAGTAGTTTGGTTTTGAAGTTGTCTCTTCTAGAAGAGTGGCTGTCCCCAGCTAACGAGCCTCATCTGCCCGAGGGTTCGAACTCGAGACTTTTCGGATTACCACGCCGAGCCCTGAAATCTTAGGAGGCAACATCATAACCAGTGTCCAATAGCGGCATTTTTTAACAATAGAAAAACGGCAATCGACTGGTAGTCTAGATTCTTTCACCAAAACTAAAATTCTTCTAATAGATAAAACAAATAAAATACACCAAAGCAATTTTTCTATTTAAAATCTTTCACAAATCAGCTCCCTTTTACTTATCCGACCCATTTTCTGACAACACAAAATTAAATTGTCGTCTTAGTTTATCTGTCTCATATACAACTTCTTTCCAGACAGCTTCTTCTACTCAGGTTGGTCTATTAATATATTTCAAAAATTAAAAAATTAAAAACTATTTCATTGCTTCCTAAACCGAGTCATGGCAATGTTTCTTGTATTCTATTACACTTTGTAAAAACAACGTTTTCGCTCTATTTTTTCCCAATTTTGACTTTATGTGTTTTTTAAAACTAATAACTTACCAATGAGATGTCTGTATCAATCAAGACGATATTGTTAAATAACTTGCCATGGGGCAAACATACGAGTCTAGACGTGGTCAAATGAATTGAGACAGGCATCAAAACACAACAACGTCATGTAGCATCTAACTAGGAAATACTCTGACTGTTTATAGACGTTTTCGTGGTTAGGTTAATACCTTAATGGAAGGGTGTGGCGTGATTAAAGGATTTTTTTAATAATAGGAATGCAAAGATGATAAGCTAGCCTTAATGGGTTTTTTCGTGAATTTCTTCTATTATATACATACATATCATATATTATATATATATATATATATATATATATATATATATATATATATATATATATATATATATATATATATATATATATATATATATATATGGGGTGAGTAGTTGGCGGCACAGATAATGTTTTGTATCATGGTTTTATTGAAATATTTTAACAGATTATAATTAAGTTGTGATACTTTTCTGCCGAATAGGGGTGGGGTGGGAGATCCATTGTAAACATTTATGATAGTTACTAATCTGTGACTTTTAAGACATTAATTATTCATGTGATGGCTTACATTTAATGGAAGAAAGGTGATGGTAGTGAATTAGTTTTTTTTACATTCATATCAATATCAAGCTTGTGTGGAAAACGTGGATTTGGTTTCAAGCCATTAAGATAAGAATGTAACTTTACCATCAATTAAATCATCCTTTGTTCTACTGCTGTTTGCGATAAATTGTTTAGCAGTCAATTGTGCTCATAACAAACGTGATTCGTGATAAACGTGCCTCCATCATGGTCTTAGATTATATCTTTTCATCCTTTAGATTTGTGGCTTATATTGTATAACATTTATTATATTATAAAACAATATGCTTTGAAACCGGTATTGTATATTCTATAGGGAATGACCATAATGTAGTGTGTATGATATTGTGCGGACGTTTGCTTTTTAACAAGTGGTCTAACCAATTAACTGAAAACAACTAAATCACTACTAGCTGCATCCCGTGCTCCGCCACGGTAAATCTTTTTTAAATGTACCAACTGGGGAACAGAACAAAACTAAACACAACACAAACGAACGAAAAAAAAAACAAAACAAAAAAAAAAACGAAAAAACAAACACAACACTCATAACATAAACACAATTTAAATGCAATCATAAAGGCATATTGCTCACAGTCTAGCCCGTAGCGCCAAATCGCGCCCTTTCCGGTGATTTGCACCCCCCTCAAACTTTCGATTTGCACCCCTGTCCCCCCCCCCCCCCGCCCTAAAACTTTCGATTTCCACCCCCCCCCCCCCCCTCGGCACCCGGGGACATATGCCCTCCCCTCGCTACGCCTCTCCTATAAAACCCCTAGCTTGTCCTCAAACCGAAAGATAGAATAATAATTAGTAAACAGTATAAATAATAGGCAGTATTTAAAATATCCGTGTTTTACCTACAATATTTCACTTTATCCATTCACGCATTTTTTTTCCAGTACTTTAAATTTTAAAAATTTACAATAGAGTTTCATAACTAAAACCATTGCGCGCCTAATGAACGTGATGACGCGTCTATAATAGTGCTGAATAGTTGATTAAAAATTATAAGTAATAAACAGAAGGGCCTACATTCAGTGAATAAAATAAATAAAAGATTGCCTTTTATCAATCCATGCTAATTATAATTTTCTAACAATAATTTCCTCTTACACATCCACATAATTTGCATTCACATTTTGCTAATTATATTATTGCAACACTATTTCCTTCTATGACGAACGTATATTTGCTTTCACATTTTTTATTAGCGTGAGTTTAATGTATTTTTAAATTACCTCCTTTGTCAAAATTAGAAAAGAGTTAAATTCATTTGATTTTTCTAACCTACAGTTATTATGTTATTAAAATGTATCCACTTTTTCTAGGAATATTAACGAAAACTATATTTGACATTGATCCTTTTAATATGTTTTAGCAATGTGCGTGTATTTAATATTCTCTTTACGTTATGCAAAATTGTACAAACAGTGGAAATTATAAAATAGCTCTATGCCGCTATATAAACAAACCCTACTCTAATACTTATAATAAGACACTGCGGTGCACTGAAAAGCACAGCATGGTGCGTAGTTTACTTTTATAGTCCCAAAATCTATAGCAATGACGGACGGACGGACGGACGGACGGAAGGAAGGAAGGAAGGAAGGAAGGAAGGAAGGAAGGAAGGAAGGAAGGAAGGAAGGAAGGAAGGAAGGAAGGAAGGAAGGAAGGAAGGAAGGACTGACACACGCTCAGCCCGCTTATATTATAGATAGTCAAATATACGATTGGATACTTGCAATAGTCAATGAAACGATTGGATGCTTGCAATAGACTATTATACGATTGGATACTTGCAATAAGTCTATTAGACGATTGGATACTTGCAATAGTCTATTAAACGATTGGATACTTGCAATAGTCTATTATACGATTACTTGCAATAAGTCTATTAGAAGATATGGTTACTTGCAATAGTCTATTAGACGATTGGACACTTGCACCTTTGAATTCATCAAGGCGCAAACCCGGGCAGTGAACTGAGAAGAGCCAAATGTTGACTGTATTAGGCCCCCTCTCCCCACACAGCTGATAGGCACAAGGAAGGGGCATTATCTATACAACTTGGCATCCTCAGGAGCCGCCTAAAGGAAGCCAGAGTTGGTAATCCTATAGCATGAGAGGCTCTAGTTCTGTTTCAGTTAGGAGTTTTCTCTGCTAGATTGGTTGCTGCCCTATGGTTCTAACTCAGTATCAGTGGTGTAGATAGGGGCGGCGCCCGCCAACCCTTGGGGGAGGGGGGAGCCACATGTGGTAAAAAAAAGCTATTTTTAAGCTGAAATATTTAATTTTACACAGCAAAGTTAAGAAAATTAACAGCTTCTGGGCTTAACTTTGTAATTTGTTTTCTCACTTAATGGTTGACATAACACATGAGACTTAATATCTAAATACAAACTGATAAGTAAAATAAACAACAAAAAACAAATAAGCAAAAAAAATAAAAAAAACATTGCAAGCATCAAAAATGATTTATTACAATAGACAAGATAATACACGTACAAAGATATCAACTTAATATTTCTGTACACAAGATAAAACTACACTGCCCACTTTAAGAACTCAATGACAAAGAGAAGTCTCGCAGTTAACAGCACCAATAGAACAAAAAAACAGCTTGAACCGAACTGGAAAGTTGGAACTGTGAACAATGATAAAATCCTGCAGGAACTTAGACACTAGTACCACTTGTTTGAGGCCGATGTTGACATCAGAAGCTAGCTATCCACATCCACAAAAACTATCACTTTTATGGATGCATTTAATTTCCCCTTGTGGTTACCCCATTCATTCTGTCAAAAACTATTCATCCAAAAAAACTTTCAGATTCATTCATCCATTTACCTAGTAAACTAAATATATGTGTAAAACTTGAACCAGTCCTTCTATTTCTCTGTTAAACAAATATAAAATGCATTTAAATTAATCCTTCCATTTCTTTCATAAACTGATCGTATGCGTCGTCTTAATGCATTTAAATTAATCCTTCCATTTCTTTCATAAACTGATCGTATGCGTCGTCTTAATGCATTTAAATTAATCCTTCCATTTCTTTCATAAACTGATCGTATGCGTCGTCTTAATGCATTTAAATTAATCCTTCCATTTCTTTCATAAACTGATCGTATGCGTCGTCTTAATGCATTTAAATTAATCCTTCCATTTCTTTCATAAACTGATCGTATGCGTCGTCTTAATGCATTTAAATTAATCCTTCCATTTCTTTCATAAACTGATCGTATGCGTCGTCTTAATGCATTTAAATTAATCCTTCCATTTCTTTCATAAACTGATCGTATGCGTCGTCTTAATGCATTTAAATTAATCCTTCCATTTCTTTCATAAACTGATCGTATGCGTCGTCTTAATGCATTTAAATTAATCCTTCCATTTCTTTCATAAACTGATCGTATGCGTCGTCTTAATGCATTTAAATTAATCCTTCCATTTCTTTCATAAACTGATCGTATGCGTCGTCTTTTGTCTTGGTCTGTGCTTGGGGAGCTGGCTGAGGCTTGACTTGAGCTCCTATGATTCTCTGCTCTTCCTCTTTAGCTTTAAAATAACACATAATTAAAAAACATGTTCGTATTTATTACAAAATTTGTTTATCTATATTTTACCATTAAAGCCAACTCACGCTTATAGAAAAAATATGCGCAATATAAAAATGCCCATAAATAAAGTGAAACACAGTTTAAAACATTAAGAGAAAAAACAAATGAATGTAGTACATACCAAAAGCTCTAATACGACCCTTCTGATCACGAATTTCTCTTTTAACTTTAAGGGCTGTGGGCATAAACCTGGTGATATCACCCATCTTGCTCTTGATCTGGGGCTTGGCCTGGATGGTCACTCTAGACTGACCGGTCTCATCTCTGGGCCTGAGAATACTGGGCGGGGCACTCAAGATGCTGGGGTTGATCATACCAGGTGTCATGCCTCCAATGGGAGGGGGTATTGATGGGGGCAGGATACCTGGTGGGCGGATCATGCGAGGTGGAGGGACACCTGACAGTGGAAGACATCTCAAGTTTATTATCGAATTCAACATGGCAATACAATACATCTTTAGAGTCAAGGTAATTTTGCATTGAAAATTAATATTTGAATAACAAGCGAAATAAAAATCCAACTGTTTTCAAAAGTCTACTTCTATATGTTATATACTCTTTATCTATAACGTCTTACAAAATGTACTTTAATGTGTTCTATATACTCCTATGTGATGGTCTATATACTCAATGAAATGATGTAAGTAACTATTTACCCATTGGAGTTGGGATGCGCATTGGAATGGGTCTCAGGTTTGGTGGAAGACCAGGTGGGGGGCCCGGTGGAATGCCCATGGGTCGTCCAGGTGGTGGCCCAGGGGGCATCAACCTTGGCGGGCCTCCCCTGAGAGGTGGTGGTCTCATAAACATTGGGGGTGCTCCTGGAGGTAAACCTGAAAAAAACAAAGGTGCAAATTAAAAAAAAAAATCTGTGTGCAGATACATAAGTTACAAGACTCTGGTTATATGTTCTTGTAATATAGAGGAATAATGTTTAAAATAATGACTATATAAAATAGCAGAGCTACCCTTTATGACCAATAGAGCATATGAAGTACAGTTCACTTATTTTTGTGATCAGTGCATATTTAGTCATCTACATGCCCAGCAGCCATTTTACTTTCCTTTGCTTGAGCTAGGTACCCTTAGAGTTGGGTAGATTCAGGGATGGAAACTCAAGATTTTCTGGTTAGCAATTGTGTACTCTACCTCCCACTTTGCTGTTCCATTTTATGTCAATATAATAGAGATAACATAATAATAATTTGTAATATTTTGCCAAATCTTTTGTACCTGGTGCTATACCAGCTATCCCCATTAAGTTAGGGGGTAAACCAGGAGGGGGTCCAGGTGGGTTCATCCTAGGGGTCAGATGTCTGGTCTCTGCCTCCAGCTCAGCCTCTTCAATCAGCCGTGCTGCTGTTATTGCAGCAGCGTCTTCATCTGTCAGCCTGTCAACAGGGTCTTCAAGACCAGGCGGTCTGTCGTCCAGGAGAGAGATCTCTTCACGTTTTCTGGCTATTTCTCTGTCTTTCGATCGGATTTTTTCATCCTCGTCCTAAAAAAAGTTGTTGATAAAAGATATATTAACTGAGTAATAAAATAATGGCTGAAGTGTAGAGCTGTAATATTTCTTTAGTTCTCGCAACTTCCACAAGTTCAGTAAAAAGAGTACTGTGTAGCAATCAACAATGTTAGGGAAACTATAAAATTAGTAATTAAATAGTAAACTCATTAATGTAGGATGAGAATAGCAAAGTTTAGCTATCCCCTTAGGGATGATATAGTTTCTTCCTGCAACTTAATAGCCTATTTGAGGATTTTGGAATAGAAAAATAGCTCACCTTTTTGTCCAGGACCCTATCTTTTTTCCTAACATCATCCTCATCTTCAGATGAGGATGATGATGAGTAAGACGAAGATCCTGAATCTGTGTCAAAGTCTGGTGTGTCTTGCCCTGCCATCTTCAACATCATGGCCTGTAAGGCGGAGACTTTCTTCTTCCCTACTTCTGTTTTATCACTTTCTCGTTTTCTTTTTTTTCTGTCTCTTTTGTCATCTTTCTTTATCTTCAGTCTTGTATCCTTTTCATTGTCATAGCGCCTGTCACTGTCCTCATCGTCATCATCATCAGCAAAGCGAATGCGTCTCAATTTGGCTGCAGATATGTTGAATGTACTTATTATCGACTAATAAAAAACAAAATCAATAAAACTACAATCTGCTATTACAAATTAATTTTTTTAAAATATATAATAACAGTTTAAAAGTTGTTTTCTATAGGTTGTTCAGGATTTAAAGCAGTCTTTTAGGCAGTTTGCTACATCTAAATAGAAAAAATATTGTTCTATTAAATTGTCTGGTCAACTTGTTGACATCCTGGCTAATGGTAGCAGTAGTAACTCAATTTCTCTGGTGAGACAATTTAAAAAAAATAACTTAACTTATTCAAAACTATTTTATTTGAAAAAGAAAACTAATATTATAAATTTCAAGTTTCAGTTTATAGAGCCAAAACTATCAGTTTTTTAAAAACTTGTTTCCCCCAACATCACTTCAATTTAACAAAACAAATATGGTTGCAACTAGCTGCAGATTTCTGATAGAAAGAATTGATTTTTCAGCCCTGACTTACCAGAGGCTTCTGAGTGTGATCTACTTGTATGGTCCATATCTATATCTCTGTCTAGATGAGCAACTGTAACATTTGTTACAGGCAACATTTGTATGGAATGTATTACATGTCACACACAAAGATTTAGACTAGAAACTGAAACTCTCCATTACTAAATTCCATGAGAAAAAAACTGTCCATTAGTAAAGTATTTCTCTAATGGCCTGAAAGTAAATAATGAGCCTACCTCTCTCTGGATCATATTCATCCATCTCTTCTTCGCTTTCACTAAGTGCAGGGGGTGGCCCAGGTGGGGGTCCAGGGGGCCTTTTCTTCTGACTCCGCATATGAATAGGTATTTGCGGTCCTATTCCACCTGATGAACTAAAAAAAAACATCATATTTGTAGTTATTTATGCTTCTCTACTGTTAAATAGTTTTTTTATTTTAATCTACATTTTATATTTAGAATGGAAATTTGCAAAGAGAACATAATTCAAAATACATTATTTTAAAATTAATAGTGTGTAATTATTTTGTGACGAAAATTAAACAAATACTAATAAAATGTAAAGTTTATTTCAATAAAAATCATCAAACAAATAAAAATCTGCAAACTTAGTAATAAGAAATAAGTGAAAAATGAAGACTATACCCAAAAAAATAAAAATCAGCAAACCTAGTATTAAGAACTAAGTGAAAAAGGAAGACAATACCCAAACAAATAAAAATAATCAAATTTAGTATTTAAGAACTCAGTGAAAGATGAAGACTATACCCATAAGCAGAAGTTTTCTTCAATATAGATTGGGGCTGGATGTGGGCCAGTGATAGAGGTACACCTGGCAATGGCATGTGTAGTGGCAAATCTGCTGGGAGAGGGATTGCACCTGGAACTAGAACATAAAGGTAAACTTTATTTTTGACTGTCTAACTTTACAAAACAACATAACTAGAAGTAAAAAAAAACAAATAATTTTAGTGTTGTGTTATTTTTTATTATTTAAATAGAGTGCTCACAGCCTTTATCTTAAAATAGTAGCCACATTACTGATTTAAAAAATTATAATATTTAATATAATTAAAATAAAATCCCAGGTTACAAAATTTAAAAAGAAAGTGAAGCCCAAAGAGAAATACTTACTTGCTGGATCTACTGGAGCATCAGGTAATGGGATCTGGTCTAATTGAACTCTTTCAGCATTACGAACCTGATCTACAAGATAAGATACACATATTTTTAATGTTTGTAAGGTGATTGAAGTTACATGTTTAGTAACTTCCAGAAAAAATGTAAATTTTAATATACTATGCCATTATAAAGTTCAAGCTAAAATAGTTAATAAGATGTGGCAAAAACAAAGTGTACCATAAAAGAGTTGAAGCTGTGACCTTGTCTTCTCATACTCAGCATTTGCCTTTTTGAGTTCTATCGCATATTCTGGTCTCTCTTTTTCCTTAAAGTGTTAACAGATTTTGTCAAAATGTGGAATATGTTTTAACATATTTTAAAATTATTATGGTTACTGTAAGCCAGAGTGAAAGATTAATTGTAAAATTGTATCAAATTGTAAGTATAATTAATGAAAAGTTTATCAAATAAGGACATAAAAGTTGGAAAGGTAATCTTAAAGACTTAAAGATTAATTAAATATAAGCACTTAAACCATCCACAAAAAATAAACCCAAAACAGCAATGGCATTAAGATTAAACCTATAAGGGCTACATAAAAATGATTTGTGTGAACTTACATATAACTTGAAAACTCTGTCAAAGGTCTCTCTTAGTTTCTTCCTTTTTTCCCTGAGGACTTTCTCATTTAATGATGGAGGCTGCATTGGATTATATTCTGTGAAAGGAAATTATTAGCATGCAGAGATTTCTGTTTTGATAACAGACCTGACTCAATCAATTTGAGCCTGCTAAGAAAATAATATAAATCTATTCAAAAACAAACAAACAAACAAACAAAAAACCCAGTTTCTAATGTATTATTTACCCATTCTGTCAATCAGTTCCATCTCTTCAAGGAGTTTCATTGGATCTTTGCCTTTAAGAACAGCAGTCCTTACCATAATTCGCTGCTTCTTGTTCTAAAAGAAAGATTACAAGTATTTTTAAATAAATTTTTAAAATTAGCTGAAAATTGGAAGACTACAAATATTTTAATATCACATTTTTCAACATACTTATTGATAATACATTTATGAACACAGTAAATATCTTACCTTTTTTAACTCCCTTTTTCTTGCCTCTTTACCTATAAAATGGTAAAAAGAGTACACTAGGATTATTACAGAATATTGAGCGATATAAACTGAAAAAAAAATACTTCTTAACAGTTTGCTTAATAATCCAGCATTAAAAAATAGTGCATATAAACCCCTGGTTGAGTCAATCTGAATCAGTCATACTACATCTATCTATAATATTAATAATGCATCAAGACACCTATATATAAAAATAATAAAGCAAACCAGTGATTATCCATCAATCAAAAAAAAACTTGCAATTCTATTATTCCAACATGCCCAGATCTAAAATTCCTGTTTGGAAAAAGCAAGCTATGCCATTGTTCCCCTGACATTATTTATTATGTTATGTTGATTAACTAGTAGTTTGCTCATATTGAAATCAAAACCTAAGGTTAGACATGTATGCATGAATGAGCTGATTCTATTTCTACGGGGGACCAAGGCTAGAGTGATCAGGGTCAAAGCACTACCTTAACCTTCTGCTTACAGACCAAACCCTTTTTTTCACCTCCACTTAGTCATTATTTAGTTAGCCTGGCAACTCGGAAGTGTGGGATTGATCTGGTACTGTCGCAATTATAGTATACTAAGCATACAGGTAGTAGTTTCTATAAATAATATAATGCATTAATAAATAATGAATCAAACATATAAGCCTATTTATTTCTATTTTTTTACCAAACAACATCCACATGACGACGATGGACGGCATGGCCTCGCGGTAGAGTGCTAGACTGCTAACCCAAATGTCTCAAGTTTGAATCCGAGTTCATGTCAGTTAAATGTCACTGAGTCCACCCAGCTATGATGGGTACCTAACTCATGTTATGATGTTAAGTAAAGGGGGCTGAGCATAGTGTTGACCACATCCATTCATATTCATATGCTGAGGAGGTCGGATACTGACAGAGAAACAGGTGAGACTTAGAACTCTACTTTACTTGCCCAATGGACCGTCAGTTTAGAAAAAAAGTAACATGATGGTGGCTGAATGAGCTCAGAACTAGATCTAGAGCAAAATAATAATTGTTGAAAAAGCATAAGATGGAAAGTGAAAAGAAAAAAACAACTAAAAAGTTAAACAGTCTGAAACAGTGAAATCGGCACTTACGAAATTGGTCTGTGGGATTCATATACTTCCCACTCTTGGTAGTGTTTATAGACCTTCTTCCCATTTTTATGGTTGTTTGCTTTTCAGTACAAAATCTGTAAACAAAAAGTGTTATAAATTTACTAAGCACTAGATCTAGTTCTAATGCAGTCTAGGCATAACCATTCACTAACTCTGGCTTTTCTAATAGAGTTGACACAAAATACAACTTATAGGCCAATCTAAGTAACGAAACATACCGAAGCAAATTAATAGCAAAAAAATATGACTTAAGACTAGCAGGTAGGCTATTCTTATTTATTTAAGAATAGTAAATAGATTCACTCGTTGACCAGTGTTTCTTTCAGACATTTTTTTTCTCCGGGAGCGGGGGAGGGGGTACTTTTAAGATAGGAATAAAGGAGGACTTGAATTCCAGGGATGGAGGGAGAACACTTATTTCGTTCGGGATAGTGGGGGGGGGGGGGGGGGGGGGGGCGGCGGGGGGTATACGTACTTCAAATAGATGCCCGAAAAGAAACTCTTTTCTGGACTTAGTCACAGTGGGTTTGCAAAATTTCCTATTTGGATAGAAAATAATCTCTAGATCTTTCATATGTGGAATATAGACCTAACCTAGGACTAGGATCTATAATTAACGGTTACATTTCTTAATACCCTTGTATTATTATTAGTTTAGGCCTATTTAGTATTTACTATTTATAACTAACTACAATATAGATTTCTATGCCTATAAAGTATAAACTTAGTATAAAGTTATAAACTTTAGTTAAAATATTAAATACGACTGTTTAAAAAGTAGTAAATTAGTAGGTCTTTTTTACTAATTATATTATAATTATTTTATTATTATTTTTAGGAGTTATAATTTATAACTCCTAAAAATAATAAGCGCCATTGGTAAATGTTGGAATTTACTAGATCTAAATCTAGGCCAAGGCTACTTTGCAAATGTAATCGTGATACATTGTAGATTCATACAAATAGTAATAAATTAGTAATAAAACAGATACCTAGAACTTTTCGGAATTTAGTTTATTCCCTGTTGCTCTCAAAACTGTCAAAATCAAATGAACAAGTAGACCTAACACAGGCTTAGCAAAAAGAAGTAAAATTAAATTTCAACTTCTTGATTTGGGGATTCAAACAGTCGATTAGAAATATAGATCTAATTCATTTTGCTTAAAACGTTAGATAGTTAGATCTCCTACTACTCTAGACACTTAATTACTAATTACTAATTACTACTAATTAAATTAGAGTTGGTAGGGCTAGGCCAAGAAGGCCTAATGGACACCAGCGAGAAAAGTCTCAAAGGTATTTGAGAGGTGTATAAATTCATTAAAAAATCATGCACAGCGTATTTACAATTAATATGGTTATAAAATCCTGCCTGGGTAATCCCTTAGTTTAGCGTCGGAAATTATCGGGTAATGTTTGTTGAGTTTCGGTAAATAGAGTTACGGTAAACCATGGTTTATTTGACCATTGAAATATAAATAAATTGAAAGTCGATTGTAGTAAATTAATGTTTTAATTTTTTAAGTTTAATCGACTAAAGGAAACAAGAATAAATATAATAGTAGATTTAAATTAGTAGATCTAAAAATAAAAAAAAAAACATATAGCACCTATTAATATAAATATAAATAATGAAGTCAAATTTAATAATTTAATGTTTTTGGCTTGCAGCGGATTTGCGACCATTAATTAATTAGATCTAGATCTAGCTAGACATCTAGCTGCTAGACCAAGTAAAAAAATCTAGATTAAGAAAATAGTAAAAATGATTACAAAATGTAAAAATGATTACAAAAATAAATATATCCAAAATTTAAACATTCTGTATAAAAATAAAAGATGACGCCAAATAAAGTATGGTTTACAGTACTTCCGGTGAATTCCGGAAGTGTGTGACAGACTTTGGCATTGTTTTACTGTTTTTTACTGCTATACGATTCCGGAATAATAACCGACGCTAAACTAAGGGATTACCTCCTGCCTGTCTGGTTTTTTTCGGACTTTACTAAAGATTGGATGTATTTGATGTTTATAATATTTTCGGTAACTAAATAAAAATTAAAAAAAAAAGCAAAAACAATTTGGTTTCCACGTGTAATGGCGACATAAACATGGCATCCTGCTATTGGATAGGCTGCCATAGATTTTATTGTACACATTGTAAGCTAAAAATAGAAAACTAGGTAATGGGGTTTTAAATTTGCATTGTTATTTAAAAACTTGATCTGCAAAGTTTTGTAAACAAATAGTTATCGATCACTAAGTTACTGTACAGCCAATCAATATTTGTCTTACGAAAGTGAAACATCCGGTTATAACTTAGGCTTGATGAAAATAAATAGAAATGTAGCCTTAAACTCAACAAATTATTTTCAAGTTCTCTGGATTTGCAACTTTTATAGCATTTATTCTAAGAATATAAAATTTCTAAATTAATTTTAGGCTAAAGTTTTTATTTTTTATTTTTTTTTACGGTCTAAATCTAAAAAAACACGTTTTTATTCCATGACAACAACATTATGGAAGGAATCTCGTCAACTCGCTCGCCTCCATTCGGATTCCTAATTTAGGGGCCTATTAATTTTAATTTAAAATTTAATTGTAGGGCCTAACAAGTAACAACAAATATCAATTCATTGAACATTGTGAAAATAATAAAATTTTATGGGCCTTTTTTAGGCCTATTATTTTTGGCCTATTATTATATCTAGATCTAGTATTAGTTCTAGAGTCTAGTAAATTATTAATGGACACCAGCGAGTTGACGAGATTACTTCCATCATAATCATGAATAATGTTGTTGACATGGAATAAAAACGTGCTTTTTAGATTTAGACCGTAAAAAAATAAAAACTTAAGCCTAAAATTAATTTAGAAATTTTATATTTTTAGAATAAATGCTATAAAAGTTGCAAATCCAGAGAACTTGAAAATAATTTGTTGAGTTTAAGGCTACATTTCTGTTTATTTTCATCAAGCCTAAGTTATAACCGGATGTTTCACTTTCGTAAGACAAATATTGATTGGCTGTACAGTAACTTAGTGATCGATAACTATTTGTTTACAAAACTTTGCAGATCAAGTTTTTAAATAACAATGCAAATTTAAAACCCCATTACCTAGTTTTCTATTTTTAGCTTACAATGTGTACAATAAAATTTATGGCCGCCTATCCAATAGCAGGATGCCATTGTTTATGTCGCCATTACTCGTGAAAACCAAATTGTTTTTGCTTTTTTTTTTTTTTTTTATTTAGTTACCGAAAATATTAAAAACATCAAAGTCCGAAAAAAACCAGACAGGCAGGATTTTATAACCATATTAATTGTAACTACGCTGTGCATGATTTTTAAATTAATTTATGGACCTCTCAAATACCTTTGAGACTTTTCTCGCTGGTGTCCATTAGTAGGAGTAGGCCTACGTTTATAGTTGATAGTAGTAGTATTACTATTAAGTAGGCCTATACTATTATAGTATTACTACTATTACTAACTATTAGGCCTATTGCCATTATGAGGATGCAATAGCGGCCGTGGCTATTGGGACCCGGGTCCTAATAGCCTTGGCCGCTATTGGGACCAGCCAATAGAATTGTTAAGATTTAGTTAGGCACTATACAAAAATTCTTTTAAGATGCAGAATATTATAGGCCTATCTTTTCTGTTGTGATTTTTTTCCTTGTAATTCTAAATGATATAGGCCAGGGGTCGGCAACCTGTGGCTCGCGAGCCGCATGCGGCTCTTTTGATGTCAAGATGCGGCTCTCCAGCTCCTTGAACAAATACTAATAATATTAATAAAAAAATAAAATATTTGAAATAAAAAAAAGTTAGTGGCTCTTTAAAACCAGGGAAATTTTGAAAATTGTAACTTTTGGCTCTTCCGCTTCAAAAGGTTGCCGACCCCTGATATAGGCCTATTGAGATCTTGCTTTAAATACCCGATATCATTACTGACAACTGTTATGATGAGCGGGTGTACTCCTCAAAATGTGAAATAATTATTAAAATTTAAGGAATCACCTGTTTTTCACATTACTAGTCACGGGCAATTTTACGTACCTAAAACGATAGATTACCAATATTTTTTATTAGGCTTAATTAGGCCCTAATAGTAATATTAATTTATTAATAAATAGTATAGGCTTAGGGCCTAGATCTATCTATTTAAGGCAATTTATTGAATTTTAAGTTTTAAGCCATAGTTTTGTGTACTTTCTGTAGTTGCAGTCGTGAGATGTGACATCCTTATTTTTTTGTGTTCTTGTCACAACAATAAACACTTTTCCGGTTGCATAATTGAAAATGTGTTTCGGATACCTGTGTTTCGACATTCAAATATGCCTTTATTTTTATTTTCCTTCTTTAGGCCCTAAATAAAATTTAGTTTATACATTTAAAACATCCAACATATTGAATATTATTTTCAATAAAAGACTGTATCTTTAAGTTCTCCATATATTGCTGAACATACAGATCACATAGCCTAAAAAATGTTGCGGAGAGAGAGAGAGAGAGAAGTGCGCACATGGGCTTTTTTATTTATTAGGATTTTTAGATAGGCCTATAACTCATTATTATGAAATCAATAGTTGTGCTGTAACATAGATTCTAGGAGTTATTGATATTTTAAGAAATAAATTACTTAGGCCCAGTTAAAAAATTACTCTTTTAATGCGAAATGTGATGCATCCTATTATTAGTATTATTCAGCACAAACTAAAAACATTAGATATAGTTTTAGTTCTTGATGGACACATACTATTTTTTTAGAATTACAAGACTCTGTTTTGATCAACAACATGGCACAAGCAAGCATTGAAACTGGATTTGATGGTGAGCTTGATAAATATCATTTGATAGAACTAATTATTTGATAGTCAACTTTTTGAAATTTAGAACACATAGAGGCCTTAATGTCTGGAACACAAGCAATCATTAGTCTAATAATTACACTTTTTTAATTGCAGACGTAGATGGAAAATTTATTGACTCATTGAAGAACAGACTATTAAAATGTGTTCGCAAGTATGCACATACTTTTGTTACTTATGATATAAAATAAGATAGATGGTGTAAAAAGAGAGCAGTTATTAATTGTCTATGTTTAAAAGTCTATATATATAATTCTCTTCATGGAGACCATAGAAAACACCACGCAGCTTAGCCACCACCCTCATCCACGCCTGTCAGGTGAGCTGTGGTTCACCCCGAATGTTTACAATAGTAGAGCCGGTTCGAATAATTGACGGCTATTAGGGGCAGATAATTTAGGTTTTAAACGATTTGAAACTAAGGGGAGATTTTAAGTTATGCTTGATATTTTCATTGTTGTTTGTAAACGGCTGCTTTCACTGGGCGGGGGGAGGCAGGGGGGTGGGGTAGTGTCGAATTTACAAATTATGAATGGTTGATAAGTAGAAAATAGAACAACTAGATAGCGGCGTATGCTTCGCCGTGGGTCAGCTTGTTGTGTTCTAATATCCTATGTGTTTTTACATAAGTATTTAATTAAAATCTTACAGTCAACTGTTTAATTAACAACAGTCATTTGACTTTCTTAAATGTTGATTTAATTATATTATTTATATTTATATCCTTTAATTGTATTTCTTTTATAGCACCAGTAATCCATATGTGGTCAACCCAACAGATTCAGAATCTTCTCAAGATTTTTCTGAAAACAAAACCGCTTTGGTTTCACCTCCTCCAGTTCCAAAACCACCAGTTGAGCATATTGATGATGACAAATACAACTTCAACTACCCAAAACGAGGGCTTGCTGTGATCATCAACAATGAGAAGTTTATCACACGCGACTTCAGTGACAGGCCAGGTTCATCTTATGATGCTGTAGCCCTACATGAGGCTTTTAAAGGATTAGGGTTTGAAGTTCTAGATTATGATAACCTTACTGGAAGAGAGATGATGACTGTCCTCAAATATGGTAAGACTTTAGAACCTTTAGAAGAGTTGGTTTTTTTTTATTGTGGCGCTGAGCAGAGACTGCTAACCAGATAGTTAGAATAGCAACATGACCTTACGGTTTTCCACAGACCTAAAGGGTATAAAAATAACTTGAATCATGGCAATTGTTGTTGGTTAGGCATAATGCTGAACACACAGTTCTTTAACATGCAGAGTTCAAAATCTAATTTACATTCTTTCTTGTGTCCACTAGTCTAATATTGACCACACGGATACTGAAGATTTTTATTGTTGCTGAAAGTTCATAAAACTACTAATAATCTTAAGTTCAAATATTTTAAAAATATATTTAAATGTTAGCCTTTTATGTTTTTGTGTATTACTAATGCTTATCATGTATCGTAGATGATTTTTGTATTGTTTTATGCAGCATCAGTGAAATATGACCATGTGAGAGCAGACTGCTTTGCCTGCGCTGTACTCAGCCATGGTGATCAAACATGGATTGACAAAGAATATGCTAGAATGAGGGTTAAGGAGAGACAGGATTTACTGTTTGGTGTAGATGGTGTGTCTGTCCCTACCAGGCTAGTCCTTGAGTGGTTCAATGATGACAACTGTCCCGGCTTGCAGGGGAAACCTCGTCTATTCTTCTTTCAGGTTGGTTTGCTGTTTTTTTTTTCTAATTGTAAAAATTGTTCAAATGTTGAAAATTAAAATGTATCTGAAATCTCATGTGTAGATAACCTGATGTTATGTATTTTTTGTTTACTTGAACATAGTCTTTTTGACTGCTACTATTAAAGAATGAACCAATTGAGATGGCTTTAGTCATTTAATAAAATTCAATTATCATGTTCTTAGAGTTACAGCCCATCTCTTTAAACTGGTATTATCCATATTATTATATGGGTTTTTGTCTTTTATTTTACACTAATTAAACCACTGAATGTCCATATGCCACAAGGTAAGCAGTTCCTGGTTTTACTGATGTGAAATAAATTGCATCTTTAACGACAGTCTTGACAGTAACAAACCAGCTAGTTTGACACACTCAGAACAATCAACAATACAAGCATGTTGTGAATATAAGAATTTTTCTTTGGTTTATTTTTCCTCTAGGCTTGTCGTGGTTCTGGGCTGGATGATGGCACTGATGTGACTATGATTAAAGAAAAAATACAACGCAGTATCAAACGCCACAATACAGGCGATGCCTTAGATTCAGGTGAACCTGTGCCGCAGGGTAGCAGTGTCGACCCCCCAGAGTATCACTTGAAAGACATGCACGATGCCCTGTCTGGTGGTGGTGATTTTGACGAGGCTGATTCACCATGGGGGTTGAGGGAGTTGCCAACAAACCCAGCCCCTTTGTACAAAGATTGCCTTGTCATGTATGCCACTCCTCCAGGTAAATAAGCACTTTGTTAGACATACCCATATTTTTGTTTGGTTGGTATAACACTGCTTCACCTACAATCCTATGGGTTGGAGTATGGGTAACCAGTGATCCCAGCTTTATGGAAATGTTTGTATGGCTAATTGATAAGTACCTTAGTGTAACCAGGTATCATAACTGTTACATGCCAAACCTGTGAGGTTTTTTTTAAAAGAAAATCATAAGCAATAGCCTTTATATGCATAGTAATTACTGGTATGTCCCAGTAATTAATGCCATATAACACTCTTGAGATTACACCATTCCTCCATTTATTAGAAAATCTAAAAAACTTCATATTTGTGCGATGTTTTACCATTTATTTTGAACAGTTATTTCAAATATGATGATTGATTTGTCATCAAAAATGTTTTCCTTTTGTTCATGCTTTTGAAATGAAGTTTTTTTGATTCTCTAAACTAAGGCTTTCTATCATGGCGCCGTGAAAATGGATCCTGGTTTATTCAGTGTCTGTGTAGAGTGTTAGACAGCAATGGAGTCAGGTCTGGGTCTGTGCCTCTGACGAAAGCTTTGATACAAGTATCAGGATATGTTGCTAAATTTTATGAGTCGTATATACCAGAAGACCCATCACAGCACGCTAAGAAAGAGGTTCCCCTAATTTATTCAATGCTGATCAAAGATATTTATATGAAAAAGAAGGTGGAGAAGAGGCCACATAATCAGTTTTTTTCTTAACGAGGATGCACGAACAACGTATTGTACATTTGGAGTTACATTGTAGCTAGACCTTTTGTGTAGAGTAGGCTTAGTTTTAGTAATGGCTTTATTCTTGACTATCGCCCAGGGAAAATATATATCTGACATTGCATTTTACTGCAATAAAATGTTAATATTACAGCTTTATCTCGTTACCACTCGCTGTTTGTACGCCATTTTTTTTTTCTCTCTAGGTCACTTTGCTTGGAGGAGGAAAACAGGTGCTTGGTTTGTTCAGTCTCTGTGTATGATATTAAAAAATTCTGGGCTAGGCTCAGTTTCACTGCTGAAAGGTTTAGTACTGGCTAGTAAACATGTGGCAATAAACTACCACTCTGATAACCCCAGCAACTACAAAATGCACAACAAGAAGGAGATGCCAGTTATACAGTCCATGCTTGTTAAAGATATTTTCATGGCGCCTAAATTTCTGACATCCACTTTTAACCTACAGATTTAATTGACCTTTAAACTCATTAATTTTTATTTTTAAAAACTCTGATAATGATCTTAATCAGCATAGCAGATTTTTAAAATATCTAATGATTTAAGTGATTGAAATGTTCACTAGATGAGTTTATTGACCACATTAAGCAAGTTGGGTGAATTATGTCTATTAGAAGTACTTGAACCTCAGTGTTTATTTTAGATGAGATGATGGCAAATTTTTAGGGCATCCTATTCATTTGTTGACAGTATTTCTGTTGTTGTCATAGACCAAAAAGTGCTCTATTTACTGTATGTTGTTGTTCTTTTACTTGCACCATATAATTTTAAGTTTTGTTTCAATATTTTACTCTTGGATTGAGTTATAAATATTTTGATCTACAGTTAATTTTCCCAAAATGTAAACATAAGCACTTATTTTAAAAATTCTGTTACATATCAAAACATGTTTTAAAAGATATAATGTTGTTAACTAGAGGCACCCAGAAACATCTGTAAAAAACCTTTGTTTATAAATGTTGTACTGTATACATAGGGTGTAATAGGGATCATAAAACACCATGACTTGAGCAGTGGTAGCTCTTATACTAAAACTTAATTATCACCCTTTTGGGGTGTCTTATTCATAATAACTTTATTTTTTACTGTTTCAGACTAGTTTGAAACTTGTGGGTCTATTAAATATTGGTTATTCATAAGGATATGATATTATCGGCGTGTGTGTTAGTTGCTTTTGGATACTACATATCTAAACAATGATATTTATATTTGCCATTAGAAGTGATATGTAAGATAATTGTCTTAGTTGAGTTATACATTGATAAATGTTTTATGTACATAGTCATATTTTATTTAGTGGCCCTAATTCTCTTTGGTTTTATTTTTATTTATTTTAAAAAAAAATTTGATTTTTTTTCTTACGTATTATTCTAATTTTTAGTGCACTTTTAACATTTTTAGAACTGATATCTTAACATATATGTTGTTTTTTTTTCACCCCTAGAAATAATTGTCACTGTTATCAACTATTATTTTAATGTCTTCACTGAATTTTTTCCTTGGTTTATTCTGGTTCACTTTAAAAGGAGGTAAACAAAACTATTCTTTATGATCTCTACAAGTTTTTATACACTTAAGTCTGTTTTGTTTTTATAATTTGTTGTCACATGTTGACTAATGTCACTGCCATTCATGTAGTTTTTAAAAACATTTTTTTCTAGTGTTTATGCCTCCTTTAAAGAAAAAAAATCTGATTTGAATATTTTTTTCTGTTGATATATATATATATATTTCTCAAGTTGCCTTACAATTATTTCCACTTTTATACATTTCTTTTTTTTTAAGTAACTTATCCTTGTAAATTTGCACAAAGTTATGCACATTTTTGTGTCATATTTTTGTATTTAATTATTTCATCTTTAAATACTTTGATGCTCTTTTTCAGTGTAAGAAAGATGTAATAGCTGTTTGTTAATGAACATAAACATTCCCACCAATGCTGGTACATTATTCTAGCAGAAAATCTTCCATCAACTTTAATACCAGCACTAAATCTTGATTCATTCAATTACATTTTCTAATAACATATCTGCAGTGTTACGTGTTGAAAGTTTTTTAAAACAAAAATTGTTTAGATGACAATGTATTATCTCATTGACTTTATGGCACATATTTGTATATCATTAACATGCAATAGCTGGACAGTATTTTACTTCATGTAAAAATGGAAACTGCATTGTGGTGCAAACTAAAAAGCCTTTAAAAACCACTTATAGAATATTAATAGCTACTATCAAAGTAGTTCAACATAAATAAATCAAATATTAATGTGTTAACATGTTTTAGTACTTTTGTTTAATTATGTATGCTTTAGCTGCAGACCTAAGTTGATTTAACCCCAAAGCAAAATAGCACAAAATAAATCCCACCACCTCCAGAGTTTGATGAGAATACCTCAAATATTTTTTTAAGACCACAATGGTGCTGGTGTTACACAGCCACCTGTCTCATAAGATCTCACATTAAAGACTTGTAAGCTGATATTTTGTTTGCACCATATTGTTGTCTCTGTTGTTGTACATTCTCATGACCAAGCATATTATTTAAAAACATTTATTAATCATGAATATAATTAATGTTACTAAGAAGATTTTTGTTAGATTTTACATTGATTCAGACTAATTTAAAATTAATTTTAATAAACTAGGTTTTTATAAACATTTTTTAAGAAACAACTCTAATTTAAAATGTGTTAGTTAGGCAATGATACCGTTAAACTTCTTATAAATTATACTGACAACTTAAATTTACTAAAATTTGTCTTTTTTTTTTTTAATTTATTTTTTAAAGTTCTAATTTAGAAAAAAATAAAGTGTCTAGTGTTTAAAGTAGCTACTAGTCTACTAACAGGTTCCTTTTATAGATATTTTGTACAATATTGGTAATAAAACTATACTGCTTGAATTAACAAAATATATGATTTTGGCGTTTCTTTTTTTGTAAACGCTATCTACTGTTTTTGGAAAGTTTCTTAAAGGACAATCCTTTATAAAAGTCATAAACCTGTACAAAATAATTATAACATAACACAATTTTTAAAAAAATACCACATTACTCAAAAATAAAACAGGTCAAAATTGTAACACTGTTTATTGTTTAAACAACCATCAACAGATGAAGATTTATACGAATAATGTGCATAGAGTCTCAAAGAAAATGTACGTTTACATATGGTTGGTGTATGACATTTTCTGTACAATAATTGCAACTGACTGCCAGTTATCCCACTGCTCACATAGTACATGCGACAAATAAATTTGGCTGTTATATTTTAATTGATCTGATGGCTCATAAGTGTATACCCATGCATTCAACATATACAACTATTGGCAGTCATGATTTTGCTGTGAGCCCACTTTGATAACTAGTTCAACATCATCTCCCTTAAACACACCACAATGAGTAGACAGTTTGTGGTCTCCAACATAGTTTATTGGATGAAACATGTGCAAATCTTAAGACCAAGAATTTTTTTTATACCTGTTACTTGAGGGCTATAGCTCCTATGCTATTATGCTTAACAATCGAATAGGCACTAAGCTGGCTAAATTCTACATCACCTCTGAAAATGGAAATTAACTAAAGCAAAAATAAGTATCTAGCACTAAAGCAAAAATAAGTATCTAGCACATTTTGTTGACAAATTAGGCGAAAGTATTACTAGATCTATAAAATGCTATTCTAAATCTTATCCTATGGGTAAAGATAATTTATACTAGTATGTTAAGGAATTTTTAAAGCAGCTCTATACATCACATACCAGTTGTCTTAAGTCCACAGGAAAGGGAGAGAAGGCTTCAGTTTAGTGTGATAAAAAACCATGAATATAAACTAATTTATACAATCCAAAAACATATATATATATATATATATATATATATTGTAAAGGTATAAAATAATGTATTTCTTTATTATAGCTGTCTTCCGTTAACAAAAACCTTTTAAAACCAATTTTTAAAACTATTTTCCTTTGTATTAGTCATAATTTATCTAAAAAATTATAAAATGAATTTAAACTAGCAAACTATTTTCAGTCCATATCCCTTCCCGATACTTAACTGGATATAAAAATATCTAGGTAAAAGTATGATTGATTCAATCGCCTTTTAAATCCAGGTTTTAACCATAACACTATTGACACCCAACACACACGCCGTGGTGACAGAATAACACCATGTGGTGACAGTAACACCATGGACCAACAAAAGGCACTGGGTGTTTTATATATACACAAACAAACCTCCAATATACACAAACACATATCCAGCATGTACAGGTGATTGTTACAACAAAGTGTAGATTCAATAAATGTACATGAATACGCAAAAAAATTTAAATGGGGGAAAAATTTTGGCTAGCTATTAAAAGCTATTTTCTTAATATATGACTAGCTTATAAAATTTGTTATAAAGAAATAAAAAAAAAAACAAGCTCTATGAGTTGTATAAAAATGTTACAAATATTTGTGGTCTGAAAAATGAGTAAAGATACTTTCAGAGCATTTTGTGTGGTAAGACTGTTTATATAAAAGTAGCAAAAGTAAACTATTGAGTAACCTTGCATAGCTTATTTTGCTGGTTTTTTTAAAGATTGATTATATAAGTACATCTTATTACACTCAGAGTGATGATTATACAGGTACGAAATGTATCATTTTACCGGTATAGTGAAAAAAATTATGTAACATTTGATAACATCTCAGGCAAACAAAGTCGTTCCATTTCAAGACAAAGTGATCTACAGATAGTAATTCTAGCCAATGTTGTTGGAATGCATGAGGAGCATTACAGCCTCTGTTTTTTAACAAATCATGTTTGGCATGGGCCATACAGTTTGCCAGAAGCCATTTGTAACAAATCATGTTTAGCATGGCCCATACAGTTTGCCAGAAGCCATTTGTAACAAATCATGTTTAGCATGGCCCATACAGTTTGCAAGAGGCCATTTGTAACAAATCATGTTTAGCATGGCCCATACAGTTTGCCAGAAGCCATTTGTAACAAATCATGTTTAGCATGGCCTATACAGTTTGCAAGAAGCCATTTGTAACAAATCATGTTTAGCATGGCCCATACAGTTTGCGAGAAGCCATTTGTAACAATCCATGTTTAGCATGGCCCATACAGTTTGCAAGAAGCCATTTGTAACAAATAATGTTTAGCATGGCCCATACAGTTTGCCAGAAGCCATTTGTAACAATCCATGTTTAGCATGGCCCATACAGTTTGCAAGAAGCCATTTGTAACAAATCATGTTTAGCATGGCCCATACAGTTTGCAAGAAGCCATTTGTAACAAATAATGTTTATCAGCATGCCAATCAATAACCGTTTGCAAGTTCCAAGTACTACAAATTTAAAAACAATCAGCTTAAAAACATCAGTCAAAAATCATTCAATTAATAATCATTTGATTTTAAGAGGTTAAATGCCTTACTAATTAATTTGACTTATAAAATCCAGTCATTATTTATTTTAGAAGGTCAATAATTACAATTTCAGCACTAGAATTAGGATCACTGCTCATGAGGTGATTAAACTTTTTTCATAATATCGTAAGTTCACTAATTATAAGAACATTATTTTTGTCAATAAATTGTCATCCCAGACATTTCAGGTCAAAATCATCAGATCAATTGTCTATTAGCATGAAATAATCACTAGGTTAATACAATGTTTGCATAAATATTAGATCAATGAAAAAAATAATGAGTATGTGTTTGTGTCTTGATTTATCATCGCTCAAATACTACTCACCAAACAAACATGTCTTTCATTTAAGTAACAAACTTCACTTCCAAGTATTTCATTATTTAAAACCAACTTCCAATAATTCAATAACATTTCCACCTATTGTTTTATTCATACAAAGAAATGCCTTAAAACAAATTAATATGTAACAACAGTTAAAATGTATTTACACTATTCACAAGTATATACAGAAGGCACTTTGAACTTGAGGGCTGGAAAAAGTTTAGTGATATTTACAATTAAATAAATAGAGTTATAAAAATATACCTTAATATACCTTAATTCACATAGGTTTACAAAAAACAGCAGACACTTTGAGCAGTCTTTGTCAGGAAAATCAATAGCATCAGTTTAAAAAATGAAGGTTCATTTATTGGATTTAGAAAAATTATTCTGCATGTTTTCCAATTTAATTTAGCATACTTGGTAAATTAAAATTTGAAATTAAACATTTATTTACCATCTATCTATATATATAATTCTCTTCTGGGAGCCGTTAGAAAACAAGCTGCCAGCGCGCGCCTTGCAGTCCCCTCTCTTCCTCTACCCCCCCACCCCCACCCCCCTCACTTGGTCAGGTGAGTTGTAGTTCACGCTAAATGTTTAGTTTGGTGACGGCTATTAGGGGCAGATAATTCAGTTTGAAACTATTTTAAACTTAGAGGAGGTAACTAGGAGGAGACTGCATTCACGGGGTGGGGGGTGGTGGTGGGGGGGGGGGGGGGGGGGGGTGGGGGGTTTCGGGGGGGAATGGGGGTTTAGTGTTTTAAAGCAAATATTTTCAGTGGCAGCATTGGTACTGTCGAATTCACAAATTATGAATTACTGAAAAGTAGAAAAAACAACAAATTATGAATTACTGAAAAGTAGAAAAAACAACAAAATAGCGGCGTATGATACACCGCGGGTCGGCTCGTATATATAATTCTCTTCTGGGATCAGTTAGAAAACAAGCTGCAAGCGCGCCTTTGCAGTCCCCTCTCTTCCTCTCTATCACTATCACTACCACCCCCACATGATCTGGTGAGCGGTGTTCACTCTGTTTACATTTTACAATCATAGAGATGGGTTTGGTGACGGCTATTAGGGGCAGATAATTTAGTTTGAAACGATTTTAAACTTAGAGGAGGTAACTAAGAGGAGGCTGCTTTCACGTGGGGGGGGGGGGGGGGGGGGGTAGTGTTTTTAAGCAAATATTTTCAATGGCAGCATTGGTACTGTCGAATTCACAAATTATAAATTACTGAAAAGTAGAAAAAAAAAAACAACTAAATAGCGGCGTATGATACGCAGCGGGTCAGCTCGTATACTTAATTTTCAGAATTATTAAATTAAGTGCAAGCTGGTATTTGCTTAGAGAAACATTTACATGTATTAAAATTGTAAATGAAAATTTTAGAGACATTTAAATGTATTCTCAACCTCATGTACGTGTGTGCACTTTTTTAGGTTAAAAATATTACACAAAATGGATAACCTGTGCTGCAAGCACATTCTCAACTTTTACAATTCTATATTCTTTAGGAATTTTTTATTTCATAAAGCCCACTAACTTTTCATTTTGTTTGTAAATGTATTTATTTTCTATTTTAAAAATAGAGACCCACATAAAATTCATAAAATTCAACCATAAAATATTTGGCTTCTTAAAAAAGAAATCTGGCACTTCTCAAGTTTTGGAGTTGCCAGAGATAAAAATGTTATACGATACTGGCATAAAAAGTTATATCAGCTGTCTGGTAATTAAGAATGTTTACATTTGGGAGCAACTAGAACTAGGTCCCACAACTGCTGCTGTTTATAAAATAATGCATACAGTGTGTTCACAGGAATGTTACAGAACAAGATATAAGATACTGGAAAAAATGGTCTGATGAATAGCTTCATCTAGTAATATCAACAACTGCTAGTACAGGAAAAATATGTTGAGCCAGCAACTTTCTGCACATCTTCTTTTGATTGGCTGACACTAAAATTTCACGCAGAAATGAAGTAGCAGCAGTATGACAAAATACTGACATTAATCAAAGTAATAGCACAAACAGGTAAGAAAGAATAAATAAAACATGAAAATCACACAGACAAAAAAATTCTGTTCTCACAACCACTGTGCTAAAATAATGATGTTGTTCACTGTTTACAAGTGGATGATTAAAAAATGTCGGATTGTGCTACAAATGGGTATTAAAATCAGAAACATGTTGATCCTGCTCGTCAAAACTCGCCCCTTCGTTAGCAATACCTTCAGTTTCATTGATATGTTCTTCTAATGACTGTAAAGTCTCCTCTAAAATGTGCCGATCTTCCGAAGCCATTCGCTGGTGTAGACTGTGTGGTTTGTTCCGTCCAGTCTGAGATAAAGTCTGGGTAGGGGAAGATGAGGACGACTGCAGGACACATGCAGTTTTATCAATGTGCTGCTGGTCACTGAGTTTCAGCTGAGCTGTGTTCCCCACCAACTCAGCCGCATCAACAGGCCGGGCCATTGCTCCTTCACTAGGTTCCAGAGTGTTGCCTGGGTCTGTCACCACCCAGGGGGAGTCATCTGTGTGATCAGAGTTACCTTCCCTTAGCGGGATAGAAGGCCTCCGTGAGGGCGCCCTGGACCTGTATGTGGGGGGTCTGGAGCTGGGCAGCTCGCTATCATGGGATAGTGAAATGTGAATGGCAGAGTGGACAGTGGAAGCACGAGAACGATATGAAGGTGGAGGTGAGGCTGGCAAGCTGCCGCCAGTTTCTGGAGGGGGAACTACTTCAGTCTGGTTCTGATAGTCTTGCATAGATGCTGCATAAGTGGGTGGTGGCCTTCTGTATTGAAACTCTGGGTACATAAAACCTTTCAGAGAAAAAAAAAGATTGTGAACTTAGGAAATGAATTTAGGAGAACAAGGCTTGGAAGGTAAAATAATTTAAATTAAGATGAGAGATGAAAGCTGTTAAGGTTAAGATGTTAAAAATATTTTGAACAACCAAGTCACATATGGCATGTGTTGGTAAAATCATGCAGCCTAGCAAAGTACATTTTCAAACTCAATAATCACAAACTAATTATGTGAAAAATTATTTTTTAAAAATCTTTTTTTAATTATAAACGAACTCACCACCAAACCATTGACCATCCCTGTTTCTGTGTCTACGAGGCCGCCTCTCTCTTGTTTGACCACCTTGAAAATGGCCGATGCCAAACAGTGCATGAAGGGGTTCATGACCTCGTGGTGTACACTTCCACCCCACCCCCACCACAATGACCAGGAGCACACCCAGACCTAAAATACAATGGTAAATAGTTCATCTTATGTTCACCCTTGACAGATAAGCATGTGTTGACTCTTGACAGGTCAACATGTGTCCACCTTACCCCTGACAGGTCAACATGTGTCCAACCCTGACAGGTCAACATGTGTCCACCCTACACCAGACAGGTCAACATGTGTCCACCCCAGAAAGGTCAACATGTGTCCACCCTACACCAGACAGGTCAACATGTGTCCACCCTACACCAGACAGGTCAACATGTGTCCACCCTACACCAGACAGGTCAACATATGTCCACCCTACACCAGACAGGTCAACATATGTCCACCCCTGACAGGTCAACATGTGTCCACCCTACACCAGACAGGTCAACATATGTCCACCCCTGACAGGTCAACATGTGTCCACCCTACACCAGACAGGTCAACATGTGTCCACCCTACACCAGACAGGTCAACATGTGTCCACCCTACCCCTGACAAGTCAACATGTGTCCACCCTACCCCTGACAAGTCAACATGTGTCCACCCCAGACAGGTCAACATGTGTCCACCCCTGACAGGTCAACATGTGTCCATCCCACCTCTACAATGATTTGTCCAAGTATCTGATTACAGCAGTGAGGTGGGGGAAAGCTAAATATAGGTAATGGTATGACCAGTTAAGATTTGGTTTATTTAATGATCTGAACAAATCTTAACATCAGTAGCCAACACAAAGTGTGCCTGACTTCCAGAGGAGACTTGAGCTTAAAATGAAGAGCGGAAAAAAATGTGAAATGAAAAGATAGAAATTAAACTGAAGCTCAACAAAAAATGTTGGACAAAAAAAATCATCACCAAAATAACTCTTTCAAAGTGAGAATGACAAAGGGATATAATAACATTTTTATCAATTTATTTAATAAAAAAAACACAAAAAAACAAGGAAATTAATTCCATTTAAACATGACACTCATGATTTTTTTTTTAAAACTGGGCAGACAAAGAATTAAAATGTTCAACAACCTCAGCCACATGCTGTGACATTACATCCTCTTTTAGATTTTATTTCTCCTCTGTGATGGTACTTAAAGATTTGTAAATAGCAGTCTTTTAACAAACACTTGTAAGGACAATAGACAAGGAAGAAGGGGAAGTAAATGTGGCAGTTGTTTCCTGTTATACTAAAATCCCTCAGTCTGAACAAAATATCCTATTGTATACCATGTGTGAGTTGGTGATAAAAAAGGTGACCTACTTAATGCTACTTTTATTTTTCTATGTGTGAAACAACCAGCCGAATTAATTAGGTTTGGGTAAGAAGGGCTATTGTTTTTTTATCATGACAATGTCAACTATGGCAGCAGTTTAGCATACACAAATAGTGAATGTGATGATTTAGTTTAGGACAACCTACAGCAGTTAACACACACAAATAGTGAATGTGATGTTTTAGGTAAGAAAACCTACATCAGATAGTGAATGTGATGTTTTAGTTAAGACAACCTACAGCAGATAGTGAATGTGATGTTTTAGTTAAGACAACCTACAGCAGATAGTGAATGTGATGTTTTAGTTAAGAAAACCTACATCAGATAGTGAATGTGGTGTTTTAGTTAAGAAAACCTACAGCAAATAGTAAATGTGACCATGGTTTTCATCCTGACAGTGTCCACCTAACTCTGGCATCAATTACAACGAGTGCACATCCAGTACTCACCTATAAACATGATAGCCAGAAACAGGAAACTGTTCCCTGCCGACCTAACAGCTGCCAGGACTATCCCAGTCACCACACAACACACCCCCAGCACTGACAGCACTATAAGAACCCATCGAAAAGATGTCACCGTGGCGATACATTTGACACACGGCTCCTTACACGTCCCTTCCTGGGTCTGTGTTGTCGAAGTGGACCGAGTCCTTGACCTCCTCTGCTGCCGATGCGGCCTGCTGTGATGGTGGGGGTGAGGTGCCCCTTCTAACGTCCGCCCTCGGTGATTGCGATGCTGTCTGTGTTGTCGTGTTTGAGGCAACATGTGGGAGTTGAGAATATCCGGAAGAGCTGATTCCATGGGGGCAGGTTCAGATAAGGGATGGCTTGAAGATGTGACTGTCTCCCGCGAGACATTAGCCTGCCTGTAGGTGGGCAGGCTGTGCTGAGATATGGCAGGCACAGACGGCTGGCGGACGGAGGGCTGGGGAGTTCTGGGCTCTGTAGAGAGAGGGTCAATGTGAGCTGTGACATTCCCGTGGCTGATCCGGTGCAGGTACTCCAGGGGTGGGTATAAGCCATCACCAGTGGCGACCACTGGGGCTTGTTCTGAGGTCATTTCAGTACAACATGGGTGGTACAAGCGAGGAGACACCAGCTGACCACATCAACACAAGCTCAGCTGCAAGCATAAACAAAACATTCTTATAATGTTAGCTTCAATCTCCATGGCGTTTTTATTCAAATGTGCTTACATAAATAAAAAAAACAGTTTAAAAATTAACAGAAAAGTAGAATAAAAGATAGTGTAATAAAAATTTATAACAAAAATCTTTTAAATACAAAAAAATAAAATAAGCATTTGTTTTCTTTAGGTATAACAAACTAAATCATTTTTTCGTTCCAAAGCCCTGAATGTCAATACTGTTTGAACCTAATGTTTTTTTATTTGTAAACCTTGAAAGAAATTTGAATTCTAATGGTTGCCACAAGCCCAACCAACTTACTCACCCACAGATAATTAACATAAAACTTGGTCAAAATAATGATCAAATTAGTGTACCAAATAGTCAAAGAAGTGATACTAATATTCTTGATGTAATGGTCAGAGGACCAGCAAATATGACAACTGTTAAACCACAGCCATAGCACAATAAGACCAGCACACACAACAACTGTTAAACCACAGCCATAGCACAATAAGACCAGCAATTACAACAATTGTTACACCACAGCCATAATAAAACAACAACCTACAAAGGCTTCACCCATTTAACATTTCCAAACAAACACACAGGAACACCTATATATACTGCAAGCCAAAAATTACAAAATGAATTTACATAATTTTACAATAAATTAACATATTTTCCCACTAGCGTTGTAGTAAACTACTGTTGATTAAATGTTGCTGACAACAACTCCAGTTTTGTCCAGGAAACACCACTTTTACTTATACTAGAACCAAAGAATCATTTATCCACGAAGGTAAAAAAAAAGACTAAAGACTATTTTGGTAGAAGTAAATCTTTTATAGGCAGAACTAAGGAAACCTGATATAGACCAGTTTGATGTAGGTAAGTTAAAAGGAGAATTAATGATGTTGCAGTCAATCTTAAGGGTCCTGCTAGAATATCAGTTACAGAGAGAATGGGAAATGGTGTTTACTGACTGGGCTGAGAGGTTTGTGTACAAGAAAGTTGTTCTCAGAGAAGTACATACTCTCAAACTAACCTGCTAACCCATAAACAGAGCAGTACATACTCTCAAACTAAGCTGCTAAGCCATAAACAGAGCAGTACATACTCTCAAACTAAGCTGCTAAGCCATAAACAGAGCAGTACATACACTCAAACTAACCTGCTAAGCCCTGAATGAGAGCAGTAAATACTCTCAAACTAAGCTGCTATACATAAAAAGAGCAGTACATACTCTAAAACTAAGCTGCTAAACCATAAACAGAGCACTAAAAAAACTCTCAAACAAAGCTGAAACCTGCTAACTCATAAACAGAGCAGTACATACGCTGGAACTAACCCAACCCATAAACAGAGCAGTACATACTTTCAAACTAACCCGCTAATCCATAAACAGAGCAGTACATACTCTCAAACTAAGCTGCTAACCATGAAAGGGATTATCACAAAAGCTTGGCCTTTTAATGACTTGCATTTTAATTTTCATCAACAAGTGTATGAATGTGTAACCTTGTACACAAAAACACACGATGCAGCACACTATAGCGCTACTGTGAAGATGTGTAATTATAAAACATGTTTTACAAGTCTATAAATGCGGTTCAAACTTGAGAACGTGCCAATTCCACGCAGAGTTGTTACTGTTACAATGCTATACACTAGTGTTTGACAAAAAACTATTAGGGGTCGTAGGCCTACATAAATGACTAAACACCATTGGGTAGGGCGGGTGATATTGTGACGAACTATTAATGAGGGGGGGGGGGCAAAAAGAGGGTGGGGAAAATGTAATGAAGCGAATATTATGTATTTCTTTAAACATTGACAGTTTTAAAAACTTTAAATTATCTTAGCTGTGGTTAACTTAGAGTTAATTACTCCCGTTGGGGCTGGGGCGTTGTGACGTTACTTTCAGAAGGGTCTAGATTTTCATGACGTTTTGTAACGTTGAGGGGTGGGAATCGCTTCAAATGTCGACGTAATCGTCATTTGCCGAGGACCCCCTCAACACGCATATTTTAAGTGACCATTCAACTGTGTAAAAAAAAAAAACTTCACCAGAATCCACTAGTCATACGTAGCGCCTAGAACAACAGCGGCGAGGTAGTGTGGGTCAGATAGGACACGACGTGAAATCATTTCACTGTTACATAACAATAGACGCAGCAGCCCGTACTTTCACACTTGCCGATAGGATTATAAAGCAGTCACGGTTTAGAGATTAAATAAATTTAAAGAAACAAAATTAAGTGATCGATATAATTACAAAGGACATGTAAAAGAAGTCTTAAAGACCTTAAGTACAGCGATGTATTCAATAGGTTAATAATGTGATTTAACGGTTTTTTTTTTAAATCTTGTTTTCTTAAATAATGTGTTTTGATCTGGACCCTTTTTCTGTAGTAGATTGTTGGATTAGATCCCTTTAATTTCATAGTTACAAACAATATCTTGCGTTTTTTATTAAAATAATCAATGCATTAATATACGTTCAGTATTAAGTTAAAATAACCTACACTTGAGATGCTCAACAATAGTATAAAATGAACCTAAACAGAAACATCTTATATTTAGGCATGTAAAACAAAAACACAAGGGGGAAAAACGGAAGCCTACAGAAAAGCAATCAATCATTCAGACAGACGCCAGCCCCACAGCAATCACAGCCAATGGGGATTTTCCAGAGGTTAAGTAAGGTAAGGAGATACCACGTTAAGACGCACTGACAGCTAGCCTGAGGGTCACTTCAACATCATTTCACGAACAACACCCATATCGAATCACCTCCTCCTCCACCCCCCCCCCTATAATGACAGGTAAAACAAATCTATTGGTGCGGCTAACATGAAAAGACGGTCATAAAACAACAGGTATATTGCTAGTTCTTGTACCATTACTAATTTTCTTTGACTATCGTTGATGATGTTCATTTACTTAGTCCCTCCAACCGATGTTGATGATGTTCATTTACTAAGTCGCTTCAACCATCGTTGATGATGCTCATTTACTAAGTCCCTTTAGCTATCGTTGATGATGTTCATTTACTAAGTCGCTTCCAATTTTGTTGCTCATACGTGTACGTGAGCCATAACGTATGGTTGTGAGTACACAGTCCACTAGGTTGTTTAAATGCCATAGAAATTATGTTATACCTCTTTGTGTGCTAGTGTGCTGCGTCCACGTCGTTCTGGAGTTCACATCATTTATAGAGCGTGATTTGGATGTGCCTTGAATTTACCCCCCCCCCCCCCCCAATGACCAAAAAGGGACTGTCCCACAGCCGCTCAAAAAGGGACGCCCCCTTCTTTTTCTAATTTGTTCTTATAATTGTAATGCTGGACGTAATTTCCTCCAACACATTCGGGTATAACGTGTCAACGTGTCGTCCGCCATTTGGCCCGTCGACACGATTTCAATCTGCTTTCTTTATGTAACTGATTTTTGGAGTTTCCTAGATGGGTTGATGTCCCTAATTGTTAAGCTTCGTCTGCCCGTGGCTCGAACTCGAGAAGAATAGGGTTTAGCAAGCATGAGTTTTACCGACCCGAGCCCTGGGACGGACCTACGGATGACCATGAAGTGACAGAGCTACGGATGACCATAAAGTGACGGACCTACGGATGACCAAAAAGTGACGGACCTACGGATGACCAAAAAGTGACGGACCTACGGATGACCAAAAAGTGACGGACCTACGGATGACCAAAAAGTGACGGACCTACGGATGACCAAAAAGTGACGGACCTACGGATGACCAAAAAGTGACGGACCTACGGATGACCAAAAAGTGACGGACCTACGGATGACCAAAAAGTGACGGACCTACGGATGACCAAAAAGTGACGGACCTACGGATGACCAAAAAGTGACGGACCTACGGATGACCAAAAAGTGACGGACCTACGGATGACCAAAAAGTGACGGACCTACGGATGACCAAAAAGTGACGGACCTACGGATGACCAAAAAGTGACGGACCTACGGATGACCAAAAAGTGACGGACCTACGGATGATCAAAAAAGTGACGGACCTACGGTTGACCAAAAAGTGACGGACCTACGGATGACCAAAAAGTGACGGACCTACGGATGATCAAAAAAGTGACGGACCTACGGTTGACCAAAAAGTGACGGAACTACGGATGACCAAAAAGTGACGGACCTACGGATGACCAAAAAGTGACGGACCTACGGATGACCAAAAAGTGACGGACCTAAGGATGACCAAAAAGTGACGGACCTACGGATGACCAAAAAAGTGATGGACCCACGGATGACCAAAAAGTTACGGACCTACGGATGACCAAAAAAGTGACGGAACTACGGATGACCAAAAAGTGACGGACCCACGGAAGACAATGACCAGGAAACGCATCTCGTGCTTACTCAACACGGGTCTCAGAGGAGATAGGGGTGGGGTGATAAAACAAACAACTACATTGTACGAGATATATCTACGAATTCAACTGTTCACCAGGAAGTACGGTGTGTGGGGGAGGGGGGGGGGGGGGTTATAAGGATGTTTAATAAATGCTCCTCGTCAAATCTTTATTATCATCTACAACTTCTCATTATCTAACACACACACACACACACACGCTACAAATATACCAGCTAGAACCGCTTTAAACAATTTCCCTGAACGTCAACTAAATCTGGTAACCAAATGTTTTGACTAGTGTATCACAGTGTAACGAACAATGACAATCTACAGAGCATCCAATATATCAGCCGTCATTCCAGAATTCAATAAGAAATGAAAAAAAAAAACACACACAATATAACCATGCTAAAAAAACACAACAATATTAACACATCCATGTTCTCAGCATAATTTCTGCCGTCATGTATAGTTTGTCATCATACATAGTTTTCCACCCCGTATAGCCTGTCTTCGCACATAGTTTTTCAAACCATTTATATAGCCTGTCTTCACACATAGTTTTTCACCCCGAAGAGCCTGTTATCATGCATACTTTGTTAC